CCTGCCAGCCCCCTCCCACAACCTGTCCTGGAGGTTTCCCGGTCGAGTTGCGCAGTCCCCAGCGCGTGTTTCCAAGAGTGCTTTAGGATGTGGGATCCCGAGTATGAGCTGGATGAGGGTGGTGATGGGGTAGCGAGGGAGGCGGCGGCGGGGGGCATGAAAGTGGACAGGAAAATTAAGTTTTGCAGACAGTGCCGTCCCGCAGATCTCCCCTCTGCCGCCGGCTTCTCCCTCTCCCAACTAGAAGCTTTGCTTCTGGGATGGGGACTGGGCAGCCTGGATCCCGGGGACACGCATCCTAACTCTCCTCTCTGTTTCTCTGTTTCCGCGTCCCCCTCCCCCACTCCAGCATCTGCTTCTGGCTTTCCTCTTCGTGGGACCCTTCAGCTGCCTCGCGAGTTACAGTCGGGCCACCGAGCTCCTGTACAGCCTGAACGAGGGACTGCCCGCCGGGGTGCTCATCGGCAGCCTGGCCGAGGACCTGCGGCTGCTGCCCCGGGCGGCGGGGAGGCAGGACCAGCAGTCGCGGGCGCCGGACAGCGCCGGCGCCGAGGGGAGCCCGGCCCTCTCCTTCAGCCTGGCCTCCCGGGGACTGAGTGGCCAGTACGTGACCCTAGACAACCGCTCTGGGGAGCTGCACACTTCTGCCCGGGAGATCGACAGGGAGGCGCTGTGTCTTGAGGGGAGAGGAGGGGCTGCCTGGGGCGGCAGCATTTCCGTCTCCTCCTCTCCATCCTCTGACTCTTGCCTTTTGCTTCTGGATGTGCTGGTCCTGCCGCAGGAGTACTTCAGGTTTGTGAAGGTGAAGATCGCCATCAGAGACGTCAACGACAATGCCCCGCAGTTCCCTGTGTCCCAGATCTCGGTTTGGGTCCCGGAAAATGCACCTGTGAACACTCGGCTGGCCATAGAGCATCCTGCTGTGGATCCAGATGTAGGCATTAATGGAGTGCAGACCTATCGCTTACTGGACTATCACGGCATGTTCACCCTGGACGTGGAGGAGAATGAGAATGGGGAGCGCACCCCTTACCTAATTGTCATGGGTGCTTTGGACAGGGAAGTCCAGGACCAGTATGTGAGCATCATCATAGCTGAGGACGGGGGGTCTCCACCACTGCTGGGCAGTGCCACCCTCACCATTGGCATAAGCGACATTAATGACAATTGCCCTCTCTTTATAGATTCACAAGTCAATGTCACTGTATATGGGAATGTGACAGTGGGCACCCCGATTGCAGCTGTCCGGGCTGTGGATAGAGACTTGGGAACCAATGCTCAGATCGTCTACTCTTACAGCCAGAAAGTTCCACAGGCATCCAAGGATTTATTCCACCTGGACGAAAACACCGGAGTGATTACACTTTTCCGTAAGATTGGAGGAAGTGTTCTACAAACTCACAAGCTCACCATCCTTGCTAATGGCCCAGGCTGCATCCCTGCTGTGATCACTGCTCTGGTGTCCATTATCAAGGTCATTTTCAGACCACCTGAAATTGTCCCTCGTTATATAGCAAATGAGATAGATGGTGTTGTGTATCTGAAAGAGCTGGAACCTGTTAACACTCCCATTGCGTTTTTCACTATAAGAGATCCTGAAGGTAAATACCAAGTTAATTGCTACCTGGACGGCGAAGGGCCATTCAGGTTATCACCCTACAAACCATATAGTAATGAATATTTGCTAGAGACCACCAGACCCATGGACTACGAGTTACAGCAGTTCTATGAGATAGCTGTGGTGGCCTGGAACTCTGAGGGATTTCACGTCAAAAGAGTAATTAAAGTACAACTTTTAGATGACAATGATAATGCTCCCATTTTCCTTCAGCCCTTGATAGAACTAACCATTGAAGAGAACAATACACCTAATGCCTTTTTGACGAAGCTGTATGCCACAGATGCTGACAGTGGAGAGAGAGGCCAGGTTTCATATTTTCTGGGACCTGATGCACCCTCATATTTTTCCCTAGACAATGACACAGGAATTCTGACAGTTCTGACTCAGCTGGACCGAGAAGAGAAAGAAAAGTACAGGTACACGGTCAGAGCTGTTGACTGTGGAAAGCCACCCAGAGAATCGGTAGCCACTGTGGCTCTCACAGTGTTGGATAAAAATGACAACAGCCCTAGGTTTATCAACAAGGACTTCAGCTTTTTTGTGCCAGAAAACTTTCCAGGATATGGCGAAATTGGAATGATTAGTGTAACAGATGCTGACGCTGGGCGAAATGGATGGGTCGCCCTCTCGGTGGTGAACCAGAGTGATATTTTTGTCATAGACACAGGGAAGGGTATGCTGAGAGCAAAAGTCTCTTTGGATAGAGAGCAGCAAAGCTCCTATACCTTGTGGGTTGAAGCTGTTGATGGGGGTGAGCCTGCCCTCTCCTCTACTGCAAAAATTACAATTCTCCTTCTAGATATCAATGACAACCCCCCTCTGGTTTTATTTCCCCAGTCGAATATGTCTTATCTGTTGGTGCTGCCTTCTACTCTCCCTGGATCCCCGGTTACAGAGGTCTATGCTGTGGACAAAGACACAGGCATGAACGCTGTCATAGCTTACAGCATCATAGGGAGAAGAGGTCCTAGGCCTGAGTCCTTTAGCATTGACCCCAAAACTGGCAACATTACTTTGGAAGAGGCATTACTGCAGACAGATTATGGGCTCCATCGCTTACTGGTGAAAGTAAGCGATCATGGTTATCCTGAGCCTCTTCATTCCACGGTCATGGTGAACTTATTTGTCAATGACACTGTCAGTAACGAGAGTTACATTGAAAGTCTTTTAAGAAAAGAATCGGAAATTAACATAGAGGAGAAAGAACCCCAAATCTCAATAGAACCGACTCATAGGAAGGTAGAATCTGTGTCCTGTATGCCCACCTTAGTAGCCCTGTCTGTAATAAGCTTGGGTTCTATCACACTTGTAACAGGGATGGGTATATACATCTGTTTAAGGAAAGGGAAGAAACATCACAGGGAAAATGAAAATTTGGAAGTAGAGATTCCACTGAAAGGAAAAATGGACTTGCACATGAGAGAGAGAAAACCGATGGATATTTCTAATATTTGATCTTTTATTGTGGAATAACACAGATCTTTTAACTGACTTTGGATAGTCTTCATTGCTGAAACAAGAGTGTGTTGGTGGTGGTTCCAATGAAGGATGACTAATTTATAATTTGTACTATATTGTAAATAGCTGTTTACAGGTTTTTAATTCAGATTCAGAGGCTATAAAATGTGTACAGCATTTTGAAATGAAAATTAGTTATAACAGCTATAGAACTATTATTTTAAAAAAAGCTTGGACATGATTTGCAACTTTCATACACCAAGCAGATGATTTATAGAACCCTGAGAGTAAGGTAAGAAAATGGTATTACAATTTTTTTGGTCTAAAAGGTCCTTTCACCACAAGAGGGCATCAGATGCTCCTTTGCAGGGAACTGAAGTATTGTACGTAACAGTTGTACATGAAATTAATGAAATAGTATATTTTAAATATGTTTATAATGTTAAACAAATATGAAATTAAGTAAATTAAAATTAACCCTATTTACATATATGATAAGAAAAAAAGAAACGCACTAGTAAGCAGAATGTTTATTACCTCATTAAGTACATAGTTTGAAAGAGAAAGCATTAAAAAGAAATGCTGTTCCTTTTTAACAAGGTTAAAAAACATTGCCTTGTGTTACAAGTCTGACCTGCTAAAGAGTATTTTACTTTCCAACTACTCAAATTGTTTTCTGTTTGCTTATTACTGCACTTGCTATTATTACAGGGGAATATATATATATATATATATATTTTTTTTTTTTTTTCTTCCTTACAAAAAAATGTAACTAGAAATCGTGTCCAAGGAAAACAGTAGAAGTAAAGAAATGTTTTAATCCTTAGTTGCTTCATAGGTGTTCATAACATTTTAGTGCTTTCAGAACTTGTCGGTAGTGCTTTCTTTATACTTGGGTTATATATTAATTTTTATAGGCTTAAACTCATCCATCACCTAAAAATACATAAATCACATTAAAACTGAATTATTCTAGAAGCTCATGTACAGTGTTTGTTGTTTCAGTTTGGCATTTTATATGAAAGATATATTGTATTTATCTTTTTGTTGTTGTTTAGGTTTGTTGGCTACCATTTCTAGCTCCCTTTCTTTGGCTTTGGATTTAGTCCAAGAGTTTATTTGTAAGCCCAGCAGCAAATTTGTTATAATTTAGCTGAATGTCTTGCAATGAAAAAGGCTGGTTCATCAGTGATTTATCACTTTCACTTCATTCTGTAAGATGAAGTGTTATTTTCTAGAAGAATATAGCAAAATTATCTGTATAAACCAAGAATGTGTTAGCTTCAACTGGATCATTTTACTTTATGGCATCATGTGTTTCTGTATTCTACCAAAAGTGTTTATATGTCTGCAAATTAAAGGTATATATTTTCATACTTTCTTTCTCATTTTTACCATTTTATATTTGAACATGGGCTTGTTCTTTCACTGAAGTGCCTGTCATTTGTTTTTAAGGTTAATTGTGGTACACTGTAGTATTCTATTGTACTGAAGTTTTATTAAACTAATTTGTTACCCAGTTAAACACTGGGTAAATTATTAAATGTGTGTAGCTAATATATATATATATATATATATATATATATATATATGAAAGAGCATGCCTATATGTGTGATATAATTTCACTTGAAAATTTGCACCCATGCATGTACACATGCATATAATTTATTATAGATTTAGTATCAATTATAAACTTTAATCTTATCATTTATAGCAAATCCTCTGTTAGCTGTGTTGCAATAGCTTACAACAATGTTTAAAATAAAAGTGTGCCCTCCAAAAAAAACAAGAATTTGAACCCTTGAGAACTTTTGGATTTGTATTAGCCTGTTTTTCCTTTTCTTTTTTAACTTGTCATAATAAGCCTATAAAGCAGCAGTGTTTGTTACAAAAAAGAAATATATTTTTACATAAAATTCCTTTTGTACTAGAGGCACCTGAGCTAAGAGATTTAGATAATTTAACCCCCAAAAGGAGGAAACGTCTTTTACCAGTTATTTTATTTCTTATTTCTCTTTAAGGAAAAAACCAAGTAAAATACAAGTAAAACACTATGAATAATGAAAAGAATCCTCCATAAGTGCAGTAATTTTGCCATCAATATAAATAATAGCCTTTTCTGTTATTCATTTCTAAATTTGAAGAAGTTTCCTGTGATTTGGAGAATGAACTTTATTTTCAGCATGAGAAATGCCTATAGCATTAATAAAAATACGTATTTTGAATTACTTCTTGTGACAGGATTTCCTTTGCAAAAACATCTTATTGACATTAAAAGCACTAATAATAAGGAAAGCTAAAGTAAATCAAGCTCAGAGATAAAAGCCCCCTTTTTACTAACACCTTGTGCTAGAATAGTTGCCAAAATGTATGCTAATCATGTCAGTGTTGTTAGTTGAGTTGGCACAAAAATAAGTGTTCCATTCATTAAAAACCCTAATACCCATTTAACAGTTTGAGAACCAGTGAGTTCTCTTTGCCCAATTTAATGAAGAAGAGATTGCTCTGATGTTTGCACAGTCAAATCTGCTCTTACATACTGCAGAAAAAATTGTTTATTAATTTGAAGAGAAATTTAAAACCGACATCGTGATTCAGCTACAGGGGAAAAATCAACTTAAATTATTTGACTGCTTAAGGTAGATTTCTTGTCACTATCTTAAAAAAAAAAAAGGTTTTGCAGCAATGCTTTTATCAATGGTGGTTAAGAAGGAAAATAAATAAAACTTTTAAAACAGTTTTGTAATGTTGGTATAATAAAAAAATAAATAAATCCTTAGTGTTTTGAATGTTCTGCCTGTATTTTGTAAAACCACCAGGCATGATTTTACTATGAAATGACATCACCAGAAGCAATGTTAGGAATGGCATATGAAGTTGATTTGATTTCAGTAATATTTCTTACAGGAATTCTATTTTGTGCATCCAGAAAATTTCCAAATCCACAACTATAAAATGAGGAATTAAACCTCTCTTATGGAGTCTCAGGTTCCAATCTCTCTTCAATGAGATGAAGACTCTGGGGTCCTGATCTCTGGCAGAAATGGAGAATGTAATGAAACTGTAGCATCAACCACATGGTGTTCTTCAACTCCTCTGGGCAGCCTCAATTCATGGAGGCCAGAGACATAAATACCTGAGCATTTTCTTCCCTGTAACATAGATTTGCTCACTGTAAAAAAGCAGTCAAAAGTGCCATAAAATGCCACATTTCTGATTTGTGCAATTTATGACTAGCACGGTGTCTTTATGTGCTAAATATTTACTGCAAAGAACAGAATTCATGGTCATGCCTGCAAACAGACTTAAAGCATTAAAAAAATCAATTAAAACAAGTTTAATTCCTTAGTAAAAGTAACCACCACAATATTTTAGTTATATTTCTAATAAGAAAAGATCATGCATATTTTTCAGATATTATGTACATAAATACATATATTATATAATAATTTTAAATTGTCACTTATTATATATAACTGTTCTTTAAAAGTAGCATTTATTAAAAATCTGATTAACTCCTAAACTGCAAATGTCTTCCTTTAAGGGTATAAAAAGAAATTGAGTGAACTTTAAGACTTAACCCACTGATGTTAAGAAGTAAGAATAGAGCCAAGCTGGGTGGCTCAGCCTGTAATCCCGCGTCTTTGGGAGGCTGAGGTGAGTGGATTGCCTGAGCCCGCGGGTTCCAGACCCACCTGGTCAGTGAGACCACATCTCTACAATAAATTAAAAAATCAGCCGGGTGTGGTAGCGCATGCCTGTAATTCCGGCTACTTGGAAGGCTGAGGCGGAAGGATCACCGAAGCCCAGCAGGTGGAGGCTGCGGTGGCCGGGAGCGGCCACTGCACTCCAGTCTGGGCGACAGAGTGAGACTCCAACTCAAAAAAAAAAAAAGTAAGAATACTGTAGTGATCATTTTTACAAAGCAGTCATTTATTTTGTACATATTTTAGTACCCATATTACCAGTCTCTTAATGAACATACATTGTGTTGTGGAGGAAACAATACGAAAAACCTTCAATTTCAAAACATTGTATGTGATAAAATGCCTATTCTTTGGATGCTATGTGAGCAGGACCTAACACAACCTTAGAAAGTCAGAGAAAACTTCCTAAAGTTGGTCATTTCTATTTTGAGCCCTTCTCAGAGGAGGGGGTTTTACCTAGACTGAGCATAAAAAGGAAAAGTTAGTCAGGGGCAAATGGGCAGGGAAGTGCATTTGAGGGAGTGGAAATAGTGTACAAGGCATACATGGGGGAGTGAGCATGTTATGCTTGAAACACCACAGATATTATGGTTTTTCTTGACTGAAGGGATGAAGAAAATGGAAAAGACTACTGGCGATGATTTTGTAGCATTAACTGTACAGTAAGTTATGAAGAGACTTGTATATTATACCTGTAAGAAACAGGAATTTTAAGAATTTTGACCAGGGAATTTATATTTTTAAAAAATCGTGGAGCTTATGTTAAGTAAAATGTTGGACTAGTCAAAAGATTGAGTAACAATTGAAGTGAAAAATGGAACTTTAAACCAGAGAATATGAAAGAGATATATTATTGTATGTAATATAGGAAGTAAAAGATACATAGTTGATTAAAGGAACTTGCAATATCATAGAACTTTTATCTTGATCAGAAACTACATAGTCTTCTTAATTTGCTTGTGAGTTTATTTTACAAATTTGAAAGGGAAGGGAAACTTATTTACTAAACATTAAGTCAGCAATGAAAGTATAGTAGCCATAATCCCCTCCTCTAATGTTGGCTTTTATGACACCGATAGAATTATAAGGGAACTAGCCGGGCTCCGTGGCTCAGCCTGTAATCCCGTGCCTTTGGGAGGCTGAGGTGAGTGAATTGCCTAAACCTGGGGGTTCGAGACCTGCCTGGGCAGCGAGACCTCATCTCTACAATCAATCAAAAAATCAGCCAGGCGTGGTAGCGCATGCCTGTAATTCTGGCTACTTGGAAGGCTGAGTCGGATGGATCGCCGAAGCCCAGCAGGTCGAGGCTGCGGTGGCCGGGAATGGCCACTGCACTCCAGTCTGGGCAACAGAGTGAGACTCCAACTCAAAAAAAAAAAAAAATTATAAAGGAACTGATTTACCCACCTTATTTCATCTTTATGACTGTCAATTGTATTCAGTTTAACAAACATTACAGAGTACCTATATGTAGATATTCCACTATGAGCTTGACTCCATTAATACTTTATTCGATGTATTTGCAGTATTTTGCTTGTAATTGCACTAAAAATGTAAACATGTAGAGCGTCATGATGAAAACTTAAGAAAAAGGCAATAAAATGTCAAGTAGACAATATAAGGTGCAAGTATAATTTCAAGTATTACGTAAATACCAAGGAATAATGATATGACAGTTGCAGGCAATTCTGAACAAGATCCAAGAAATGTGGTCAGATGAAATATCTATTTAGATTCCCAAAATACACAGGCCTTGAGTCTCATCAACATTATTTTAAAGGATTAACATCACTTTTGAATGAAATAAGACACATGACGTGTCTTATGCTTCAAGTTTTATCTTGTTTAAAATGAAATTTTAATAATACTTAATACCAGCTGACAGAACTTAAAAACTCAGGCTAAATAAACATATAGTGGATTAAAAAGTGGTATAGTATACAATCCCAGCATCTAGAAAAGTCCAGTCAATTTCTTTTCCTAAGACCCATCTATGAAAAAGTTATGAACTTATTCTATCTCAGAGTTTAATTTTGAAAATTAAATGTTATAATTCATGCAAAATATTTTGATCAAATGAAGTGTTCTACAAATATTAGCTGTTATTGCTATTGGAATTAAATTATATGTTAAGAGGTTATACTGTCAATGTATTCACTCATTCTTTCATCAAATTCTGTCAACCAATATTTTCATTACACAATAAAAATCCATATAACCAATATTGTTTCGATTAAAGGTTTACATACTAAATAAACTTTAATATTTTTATCCAAGTTATGCATTTTATAGACAAATTTTTCTCTTCTCATGACGTTTATATATGCTTTCTCACTTAGAAATCTCATGTTAGTCAAGATTATCATTTAAATTTTAAAATCATAGAGATAACTTCATCCAACCCTTTCATTTTACAGATGAAGAAACTAGGACATGAACTATCAGGGAAAAACAATGACATCTGAGAGTATTAGAGGAGAAGACAGAAACAATGAATTTAAGAAATATTCAAAATCCTACAGAAAATAATTAGCAGAGTTGCTTCTTATTCAATATTTTGCTTAAAATGCATTTTAAAATTTTACCTTCATTGGAAATTTAACCAACATTATATTTACAAATACGACATACCAAGCAATAAAAAATTATCTGAAATGAAATCTCATTT